TACAAAATTTTTAGCAGCAGCAAAATCTAGTCTCCTCGATGGATTTGGGGCAGGAACGATTGCAGGAAGCAATTGTTTTGAAAGGTTGATGGCTAAGATTTGGGCAAAAAAAAAAAAAATGTAAGGTCCAAATTTCGTTTTATACATCATTTTTCACACCATGTGTGGGGTCCACAATATTTTGTTATATAGTTACATGTTATGCAAAGTGAGTTAATCGTGTACAAAATGCACAAAATCGGTCCGGACGGTTTTTCTGTTGACTATTCCTCAGCTAATTCCTTCAATTATTGTCCAAAAAATAAAAAATCGGAAGAATGTTGTTTTGACATAGGTATGGTACGAAACTATGGGTGTCAGGTTTGGTCAGCCTGGCAACAAAGAAAAAAAAAATTTATATGCTGGGCTGCTAGGCTTAGAATTTTTTTTTTTATCCATATGTTTTGGAGCAGCCAAAAAGGAGGAGGAAGAGGAAATTCATGATGAATCAGTTCTTGACTCGGTGATCAAATTTGTAGCTGATTCAGTTAAGCAATTTCTAGCGGCCACAGCCTGGACAAAGGGCCTTTTCTTGCATGTTTCTTGGGTATACTAGATTTTATACTCTTGCTAGCTGACCTTTCTACTATTCAAGAAAAATAATCTGACTTCAGGGAATAAGAAATAAAAATTAGTTTGAATGTAACTTGTGTGTGTGTGTGTGTGTTTTTTTTTTTTTTTAATTTTCCATGTAGATTTTAATGGCATTTGTAACTGTAGCTTTAGCTCATTTTTAGCTGTGATCGTTTGGTTACTGCAAAACAGCCAGATATATCCTCTATCTTAGCAATGGTTAGTATATATTACGTATAGTAGATTATTTCTTGAAATTTATTTAAGTGATATTAGTCTTAAAATTAGTAAGGATTTTAACTAATTGATGGTCAGCATATTTTTCTCTGTTGGGAAAATTTTTGAATTTTTATTTTCAGTTGCTTCTGGTATTTCAATCAATATGGATGGCTACATGGTGGCAGCGGATATGATACGAACAAAAATGGCTATATAGTGGTAGAAGGCAGCGGTAATTATAGTGGTAGAAGGCAATCAAAAATGTTAGGTATATGATACGAACTTGTGCCGTATTATGTACCTTACTTGAAAGCTGGCCCAATTTTATTCTCAGCATAAATGACTAAAAAACTAAGGAAAATGGCTCAAAGCAAATGACATAAAAGCTATTTGACCAGTTTCAATAAATCTGCAAATTAACTCCTTGAACTAGGGATTTAAGCAACGGATCCTTCTTCAACATCTTCAATATAAATTAAAGTAGGTTGATGTTAATTCTCCAACTTGACCCCTTCAATGCATTTATGAGCTCCCTCCATGGGTCTGTATGAGTCAAATTGCTCTTGAATAGCGCATACCAAAACCTGAATCATCACGCAAAATAACCATTTGAACTCTTTAACATGAGTTTTCGCAATTAAGTGAACTGGAACTTTCACACGATCATTGAGTGATCCTTGAATAGTTTGGACGCTAACCAGATTCATATCATCGTTGTTTGAGATGGAGTTAAACTTGTCTCAATAGAGAGATTGGTTTAAGGGAAGCAACGTTGAAAAAAAAAGAAACCAACAAAAAATTTCTATTTATTTATTTACTAATTTTATTTGAGTTAGATTTTTAGTAGTTGCGTAATTTAGGAATTTGTGTTTTATTTAGTAATTTCTTATGCAAGTTGGTTTCTTACTCAACAATAGGTTATAAATAAGATATTATTTAGAGTGTTTTCTTAAGATAGTCCAAGAAAGTTTGTAAGATTTTATTGTGGTATAACTTCTTCCATTGTCCTGAGATATAATAATATTGTGAATTTTTTATTTTTCTCTCCGACATATATATTTGAGTGTTTGTTTTATCCCTTCAATTTTGTAACCCTGCACGCATTAATTACGATTAGAACCCTAAATTTGGGTTCTACAGATTTGAAAAAGTTTTAGGTGTTATTTCATAATACAGTTTTATTTTATCTATGTGGGATCTCAACCAATGTGGTTAACTGGGCATAATCAAGAAGACATGTATAGGTATTCAAAATAAAATAGTGAAAGTTCGAAAAATATGTCAAGCGGGGCTAATCCGCATATACCAGGATACTGTTACATAACTCCAAATTAATATTATTAGAATACAACACTACATAAACATTAACGAGTACAATAATCATCCTAGCTACAGGCCTTTTTAATTCTTTTTAAAGCTATTCATGTTATACTGACTTTTAAGTTTTACACTTAGAATATAAACTTATTGAAGCTAATTTCCATCTGGAGTAGAATATAGGGATGCGATTCAAAGATTAGTAAAGACGAGGAAAGTAATTTTAGTGGTTTGAAAAAGCAAATAAAATATTACAAGAAAAAGACATATTAATAAAAGTAGAAAATTCATTTTTTTAGGATGGGAAAGAAATTTTAGTGGGTTAAGAAAGCAAATAAAATGTGAAAAAAGAAAAAGACATATTAAATGAAAGTAGGAAATTCATTTTTTTTCGTTAAATAACAGTCTCGACAAATGAGAACTGAGGATTTGTTTAGTTCATGGATTGGATAAAATGGGATGACTCATTCTCGAATTATTAATTCTAGATTAAGTCATTCTCGAATTAATAATTCAACTTATCCATTGTTTGGTTGGTTCTACGTTGGATAAGATATATTGGAAAATAATCCTATCTATGCTTGGTTGGAGATTGGATGAGATAAGATTACTACTTTAATGACCAAAATACCCTTGATTTGTAGGATCATTTTAATAGAGTAATTTAATAATTTATAACTTTTATTAAAATAAACTAATTTGAAAACTTATAATTGTAAAGTAAATCAAGGGTTTTGATATATAAAAATTTGCATTCACTAAAACTTAGCCCATTTGGGACCGTAAAAATAGGTTTTAACCTAGTATTTATACCTAAATTTGAAATTTAATTAAATAATGGATCGAGTTTTGGCTAAATTAGAGTTAAATTTAATAAAATGCAACCCATTTAAGAGTTTTAAATGAGCCAAACTCAAGCCAACATAGAAGATTTTTCTTTGGGTGATCTTGAACTCATTTAAACCCTTATTCGCAAAACTCAATTGATAAGGTTATGTATTTATATAGAATTTTGTTGAGAAAATAAGGTTAGTAAGGGCAATTTAGTCCTTTTATTATGATGTATGTAGGGGTAAATTAGTCAAAAAATTTAAATTAATTAATAGGGGTAAATTTGTCATAAAATTTAAAAGAATGAATATGAACAAAGTAGTAAAAAAATTTTAATATAATTAGTAAGGGCAAATTAGTCCGTTTATTATCATATTATTATGTGAATGTATGGTTAGATAATATTCAGTATGCATTTGTGTCATTCGCAAGGGCAAACTAGTTCAAATATTGTTATGCCAATAGTAGGGGCAAATTAGTCAAAAAAAATTTAATTAATTAGTAGGGGTAAATTAGTCCATTTATGTTATATTACTGCGTGAGGATAAGGTTATATAATTATAAGAGTATAAATTTATATTATTTGTAAAGATAAATTAGTTTAAAATTTTATCATTCTATCTCTTAGTCATCTCGGGATGACTAATACCACCTCCCTCTCATGAATAGGAGATTAATTTGGTTAATTGGGATGTATCATCTCATGTGTAAAATGTAACCAAACATTAGAGATACAAGATAATTAGACCAATCCTATATCATTCCATGAACCAAACAAACCTTAAGAAGTCAAAGATGTTAGGTCCGGAGACATAGAGATCTTGGGTTTAAATCTCTCTTCATCCACCCTTATTGAAAATTAAAAAAAAAAAAGAGTCGAAGATATTAGATTCTCTTAAAATGTTTCACGCTATAACGTGCATCAATATCATAAAAGTATTCTATGAACGTTGGCCACATCACGATTCATGTTTGTAGTTTCTAACATTTTTGTTATTTCAACCCACTAATATTTTTTATTAAATCCAATGAATTTTTAGTAATTTCACTTTGATCCATTAAATCTTAAAATATTGACAAACCCCAAAACGCTTTGTTTCTCATTTGAAACAACTAAATTTTAATTAAATTTATAGAATACTCTTTTAGGGAAGCATAACCGTTCAGAATTTATCCGTTAGTTTGAACCATTAATGCCCAAATTCCACTTTAGTTCAAAACCATAAAAGAGTTTTCTGGATATTTTTTAAGAGTAAATATTTTCTACACTGACGGTATATACACTATCATCGTTGAATTCATGACATATGTGTAAAAGTTAAATTTCAAATTCAAATTTTACATAGTTATCATTCATCTAACGCTGATAGTATATACATTGTCAGTATAGGAAAGATTAATCCATTTTTCAAATATAAGGAAATTTTCTATATTTAACTAGAGTATGGATGGAAAATGAAAGTTGCCTGTAGAAATTCCATATGCTGCAATAGTTTCAATATTTGTCCATCTCCTTTCTAGCAAACCCTTTATCCAGAGACCAGTTTGAACATAATGAATATGGTAATTGTATTTTCCATCGGATATGACATATAGCTGTTAGCCAACTTGAAACCCCTTTGTTGGAGAGCAGTTCAAAAGTAATGATTATGGTACAAATGTATTTTCTACCAAATATGACATACAAACGTAAGAGAATGTTCTAGCCATATCCCTTGGCACGAAGTTGTGCAGGACAGAAAACGTCAAATTGCAAAATACAAACGAGACTACTACTCACGTGTCCTTGCATCTTGCCAGAAAACTTTTTACATTTGGGTTCAAGAACAATGGAGATGAAAGCCTCTTTGATCTTCAAAAGGATAAACGGTAAGAGAAGAAAGGATGCAAGCCTAGATTTTCGACTAAGCTCCATCAGAACACAGATTTTTTACTTGGGCCAGGCAAAAAAAGAAAAAAAACTCTGGCAGCAGAATTTGCTTTTCCTAGAAACTAAATCCTATACTAAGATATTTGGTACCTTACCACTAATTGTCTGAAAATTTGTATTTAAACTACAAGATTAAACTGAAAAAAAAAATGAAAAATGAAAATTGCTTTGTACCAAAATTTACATGATTAGTGTTCTCAACAAGCTTAAGACTGCCTCATTATGCCTGAAAGAGGTAAATTTATCTCAATTTGCTTCCATATGAAAAGGAAAACAACATTGTTTTTCATCCTCACACCAGATATTTCCAGAAGACAAAATTTAGGCACTTTTAAGCAACAAAGGATACCAGAGAGAGTGAGTGGTACATGCAAGGAAATTTTAGTTCCGCAAGCCAACCCCAAAGTGAAACCTCCCTGTACGTTGGTCATTAAATGCATATTCAAGTCTTAAAGGCCCCAGAGGAGAATCCACACGGATGCCAAGCCCATAGCCATATCCACTGCCGGGCTTTAGCCTTGCACCAGCAGGATCACCTGAATTTATGAAGTTCAATTACGTAAATCATGAATCATTATACTGTCAAAGACCTAAGTATATAATCATCACACTAGAGAGTTTCAGAACACAAAAGCAAGCCTTTAAGACCTAGCAACATCACTAGCATAGGTGTCATACCATCAAACCATTTCACACTTTGCCTGGAAGAGCAATTAGACTAAGAATCAAATGCACAATCAAATCTTATCCATATTTAGTTCCTCAAGTTCTTTCAAGTTTTCTTAAACCCACTTTCTTATATGTATGGACCACACCCATAGTGAAGACCAGATAACCCTCGAGGCTCACTTAACAGCAGCTTTAGTTGAGTGCTTCTAGAACTGTGCAAAATGCATCAAAAACTTGGTACCACTTTACTGAACAACTTTTTCTACTCAACACAGACAAGTAACGCGGAGTAGATTATTAACCTGCCAAAGAGTACAAGTTGCAGAGAAGACATTGAAGATCAGAAAGGCATACCTGGCACAGTAGATCCAGATCCAAGATCAGTTCCATAATCAGCAAATATGACCCCTTCAACTGGCCCTGTCTGCAAATAGTTGAATTCATTACAAGACATTCTAAACAGGAGTAGTTCCTCATAGAGATTAGAGTCATTATCAAAGGATAAACCACAAATCATGATTTGACAATGCAAGGTTAAGCGGCTAAGAGAGTTTGGTTGTCCTCATTTGCTGCAGTTGGAGAACAATGAAACATCACCCATGATGTAAAAGGTCTTTTGTTGAGCTGGAGTTATTGTAGCAATAAGAATAAAAGAGCTAATTTATTAAAAACTGTCAATTTAAAGAGAAAGGAAGCACAGCACATTTGATTTAAAAGAACAGCTAAGAACGTTAAAACTGTCATTTGAATACCCTTTACTTTTGAATTCAGGAACGTTCTTCCAGAGATTGCTTTCTTTTGCTTCCTTTTTTGGCCAAATTACATAGCCCTCTTCATAAATATGTTTTCCTATGTCATTCATGTTACACACTCAGTGCCTTAAATATAATCCAAAAAATGGAAACAAAAATGCTAAAAATCATGATAACAAAATACCATCAAAAGAAAAAGGAAAATCTATGACAATGTGCACCTGTGCGAATTAGAGAATATGTGCATATATACACATGCATATCCATATGTGTGTTATAGCACCAATTACACAGCAGAACTTTTGGAAGAAATTCTTATGCCAGCTTATAAAAGGCGATTAACAGAATCAGTAAGGAAAAAAATCCACTATTACTGCAAATCCTGAGGATTGAACTTTGAATCAAATTAGGTTCTCCACCTACCAGAGGGAATGAAACTTCTCCACAACCAATTGCACAAGACCGACCTGATCCAACAGCTCCTTCTTCATAACCCCGCACACTATTGGTGCCACCAATTGCAAATGCTTCATGAGGTGGAAAATTTCCCACAACATGTCCACCAGACAAACTACAAAGATGAGAAACCAAAGCAATCAATAAGCTAATCTTACAGTATAAAACAGACAATGATTTTTGTGAGACTCAAACCATGACATTGAAAACCAAAAGGTCCAACCCAATCTCGGTAAATACCAAATAATACTTGCATGAAAAAGAGTACACAGGTAGTACCTTAAACGAAGGCAAGCAGGACCAAGCACCAATCCCTTCCTCGCACGAGCATTCACTCTGTTGAAAACTAGCCATTCTGGCCAAACAGGAATTCCCTGATCCATGTTAAAAGCAAACTGCACAACAATTTCAACAATGCCAAAACATTAATACAGCAGGTCAATAAGTCTAGAAACTCAGCACCAAAACATAGGATTGATCAAGAAAAGTTTACAATAAAGTTCAGACAACCAACCATTGAAGAACCTGGGTCTCCAGAACCAGTATAAACAGTCTCAAGTTTAGCTAGTAGCATGTCATCATGGGTATTGCCACTGCAGCAAAAGTATTACATTAAAAGATGTTCAATTTTGCAGTCTTAGTGGTCACCAAAATTGTAGCAAACATAAAAAATGCCTACCTTGCTGTAAGTGGGCTGCTATAGAAATCCCTTATAACAGGATTGCCTTTGTCATCATGAGCACCAGCACGCTGAAACATAGAACATTAGTTGCCCAGGAAGCAAATCAACAAGCAAAAAACTCAAAGAATGTCCTAAGCGACTTAGCATAGTAAAATAAGGAACAAATAGTGAAGAATGATGAACCTAACAACAAAGGCATAATGCACAATGAGGAAAACTAGCATTTTGTTATATCATGACTTTTCTGCAAGCATAGCAGCATTCGTGAATACAAATCAAGCAAATGTAAAACATTGACAGCAACATAATTTTGTCAGAGGAAATAAAGTACAAAAAAGGGAAGTAAAATGAAGGTTACTGATACTTATGAAACATCAATTCGCAAGAAAAATAAGTTTGCGAGTAAGAGAGACTCAATTCGCAAATAGCTCAATTGAGCTCAGCTTGTTTGAGCCTACTCGAGCTTGAGTAGCACAAAAACATTCATATATCATTTTTAAATAAAAAGTGCGAAAAATTCCACACTTGAGAATATGAAATTTTGTGTGTGTAGAAGAGCTCCATTGAGCTTGACAAGCTTCTGAACCTCACAAATATGTAATCGAGCTCGAGGTCGCCAAGCTATTCGAGCTCAATCACTTGAAATTGAGCTTTTGACCATGCAAGCTAGCGATCAGCTGAATTTAGCTCGACTCTTTTGCAGTCCTATGCTTTATGATCAGCATCTGTATTCTTTTCTCTGATCCTTTTTAACCAAGTGTGCCCTTGCAAAGCCAACAATCAGATATAAAAGCTGAGATTTGAACATGGGTATGATATTAATACACCCTTTTTAACTTTTCCCACACCCTTTGTGTGTTTTTTAGGCCAAATGACAAGCATGCATGGTAGGCCAGAAGAAACATCATAGGTATGTGCAAAAAGCTAATTTTGTGTGGATATCACTGCCCTTTAAAAATTTAGCATGTACTTCTTAGAAGTTCATGCACTCTAGTTCAATTTCAACCTGGATACCAAACAACAAAAACTAAATGATTGCCATATATGTTATTCACATAAACACAGAGAAATGCCTAGAGAAATAATGAACCAGTTTCTAAACAAAATAGGCACATAACTGCACATCAGGAAATTACCTGAAAAATAAGTCCCAGAGTTCCATTCCACTTTGGCCTGAATGGCCGGCTGTATTCAATTCCAGCTGTTACACGCCCGATCGTAAAGCTATTACTATCGGGTTGGTTCCCATGAACAAGTGTACCAGGGGTTCTTGAATTCTATTTAAAGAAACTGAGTCAAATAGAAATAGTCTCAAGTCAAAGATGAGATTTTGATCTAGTCCTACTACCTGGATCATGATTGACCTTGAGGTCCTTGTATCATCTCCTTCAATCCATGGGTCTGTATAGTTAATTCTGAATATTGAGTCAATTTGCCCCCTCTCCAATGACACATTAAGCTTTTGGTTTTTCCCGAATAGATTTTTGTGGTAAATTGCACAGCTGCAGTTAAACAAAATGATAAAGCAGCATACTTTATAAATTTAAATAGGTATCATGTACTGAGATACACAACAAGCACAACAGCGTCATGCATCCCAAAAAACACTGTTGGACATAACCATGAAAACCCTGTTTAATACAGCCAGTGCTGTGGAGTAACACAGGCTCCACACATACAAACAGAAAGGACAGAATTCTTTTTTTAATACAAGATGACTCTATGCTGGTCTTTCAGACAATTGTAACATGCATAAAGTGTAATATAGATCCCATTTACAAGAGCATATAAATAACATGATGAAAATTTAGCTTAACAGATATCCCAATCAGGAGCCAGATAATTTTTCTTCTTTCAAGGGGGATTTGGGTACAAGTAAAAGAGGGGTTGTTGATGAGAAATAAAATCCATTTACAATTTCAATTAGAAAGACCTCAAATATTCAGAAATAAAGAGCATGCAACACCTCATTTTCTGAGTTGATCAAACCAATTATATAGTGTTGTTAGAATGAAAGCCAACATCTTAGTAAAGAAAAACTCATTACGATGTAGTACTTCTAGTAATAACCAAAGAAAATAAAAAATCAATCAGTCGAGACGGAGACAGTCATCAGAACAGCATGCTAAAAGAATTTGAAGCAAAAGCTAAAACAAGAAAACAATGACTTTATGCTGAGAAAAATCATTTGTAGCAGCAAGATTACCTTCCTATCAGTCCAGCTAGAGGGCCACTTGTTATCCTACAAAACAAAGTCAGCAAATTGCAGCAAAAGACATTAAAATTAGCACACGCATACCTGTATGCACATGTGCCCATGCTAAATATCACATTTTTTATACACATACCCACTCGAAATTCCACCACCAGCTGAGATTCCCCCTCCACTTTTGCGCTCTACGATATTCAATGTCAAATCAATCTTGTTACTGTCTGCAGAGTAATGCCCAGAAAACAGAAAACATTAAAAAGTAGTACAGAGATATATGTCACAATTTTTTACAAATAAAGCATCTAGAATGTTACGCAAAAGTTATCTGCTGATTCACCTCCAGCAGGCTGAGGAATTATACTAACATCTTCCATAATACCCATAGTTAGCAGGGTATCCACATCTCTTTTCCCCTGAAGCATACTGTACACCTACATCAGAAAAATTCAGAAAAATTTATTGCCAACAATGTTATGCATCTATAGAAAGTAAAGACAAACTGGTAACACCAAAATTATGATACTAAAATTGCTTGCCAATCCAGATTAAATCTTGTACAAGTCTTGCAACTAAGAAAGACTGCCACTAAATATGGACAAAGAAGTCAACTAAATCATATTCTTAAAGAAAATATGCTATATCTGGGAAGTGAAACATGATATATGCACAAAATGACAGTTTCCATGTCTTTGGAGTTCAACATAACAACTCTGTAGACATACAATATTTAATGCTTCTATAAAGTGTAATTATAGCAGTTCAGCTTCTGATTACTGACCATAGTCATTCATGGTTGAACATATAAAGTTTGTGGTATGTGAAACTTATGTAATACTCTTTAAGTTCATTTGAGGAAAGAAGCATTAAAAACGAGACTACTTCAAATAAGTCCAAAAATCATCTAGAGAGAGAAGAATTGGCAAGTCATGATTTCCTCATCATAAATGAAAATGCATTGCAATATTTAAGTAACAACCATTTAAAAGACACTTGACCCCGGTGAAATATGTGCAGTTTTACCAGTACGCCAACATGAACTGTTTCAAGAATGTTTCCCCATTATGATCAATTCAGTAAACTTGGCATCAAGTTTTTCACAGAGCATTTAGATTCAGGACCCCATGAAAAGAAAGTTGTATTCTTTATAATAAAGAGGTTTCTTGATAGCTCAAGGACATCTAAGCCAATAAACACACCAAAATCAGGTAAATGAATAAGGTTACTATGAATTAGACCTGTCCCTTCTTCGTGGTAAGTTGGCGTAGTATTGTTTCAGGCCTTGTTTTGCCAACAGTTGGCTCTCCACTGCAGTAATAGGAAAAATTAGGATGTATGAGATCATCCTTAAGAGGAAAATTTACTATGCGATAAACATAACAGTCCAGAATCAAGTTATTACGTCCTGTCAAGAAAACGTATTGTCATATTGTTGACCTCAGCTTCTGAAACCTGTAACCTAATAATGCCACCAGAGAGAATCTCTATACCTGATACCTAGAAATGGATCAAGATTCAAGAAGATATGAACTCTTTGTCAACTTGATGGCCTCACAATTATCCAAGTCCTATAGCTCTAAGACGGAAAACAAAGGAGAAACCATTGTTCATGTGAGATTAGACACTAACCATGCCGAAAAGACCCCTCTCCATATACCAACCATTAATGGAGTTTATAACATCATCCAGCCGCCTGATGTTAACCACTTTTCCTGCATGACTTGACAAAAACATAAGTGCAACTCAAAACACAAGAAAGCTATAAATTAAAATATTTGTAACATGGAATTCACGGCAGAAGCAGAGGCACTCTTGCAAGCTTCAGGTATTTGGGTCAATAAGCACCAGAAAACATACCATATCCATCACGAAAGGCATCCTCTATAAACTTTGATGGAAGAACATTAGCTCCTTCACACACCAACCCCTGGAACTCTTGGTTTGGTTCTACCTTGTGCCAAAGGAAACTCATACAAATAACTATACATTCACAGAAAATTCTGTGTCTAAACAACCGATAAGTATCCTGTAGTAATCAGAAATTTATTCAACATGACATGCAATTTTACATAAATAAATGAACATTTCAAGGAAGCCTGTAAGAAAATTCTACAATCCTATGACAGCCCATTGCTTAGGAACTGAGGGTCAAAAGCTGACCACGGTTTAACAAGAAGAATTAAATAAAAAGGGCCAACATAGGTTCTAGCGGTTTATTGACAAATCCATTGTTTGTGTCACAAATAAGTAACTAACTACCAAAAAAAGAAAAAGCAAAGAGTGCGCCGCAGATATAAATCTCACCAGGTGCATGCCACCTATCTGTAGGACTTGCCCATGGTGCATGACAGCAGGGTCAAAAGAAATGTACTTAATTTTATTGGTAAATATTTTTTGCACTTTTTCTTGATCTAAGCTTTTTTTGTGACATTCAGCCATAGATAGGCAAAAGTCAGTGAAAGTGCATATATAGAAAGCAAGGATCCCAATCTTACACAAACTAAGAATTGCCATCAATCAGATAGAAATGATCAAGCTTTTACTTAGCCAAGGAGGCATTGGACTAGAGGCTAAGGTTGAGGCACCAAGAATTAAAGGTCCTGAGTTCAAATCCCCGTTTCCCCTCCCTGTTTCTTAAATCCTACCCCTCCCCTACTAAAAAAAATAAATGAAAAAAAATATCAAGATCTTATTTTTTTTCCTCTCTCTTTCATGTATAGAGTGGATGTTATTCACAGCAAGCATATTTTTTTTCAATAAAGATATCGAATTACAATGTAATGACCAGACAAAAAGTGATAATTTTAGAGCCCATTTGATTTGCAGGGAATTACTTGGGAAAGTAATCAAACTGTAAGTTTTGGTAAGTTAAAGCACCTCAGATTTGAAAAAAGAACCATGAGGAGGAGGACAACATAACCAACATAGAGAAATATTCATAGTTGTAGTGGTTATGCAGTGACTTCTGAATGAGTTTAACTGAAAGATGTCTACAATCAGCCTTTAAAACTGTTGAGGGATAAAAGGTCCCCAAAAGCCATGGCCAACAAACAGCCCATCGGCAAACATTGATCTATTGCAAGGTGCACTATATTAGGTTTATTGCAAGGTGCACTATATTAGATTTATTGCAACGTGCACTATATTAGGTTTGCCAGACAACGCAGACAAATAAAATTTTATTTCAGCGACTATATACAAGAATCTTTAAAAGAAGTACAATTCTAAGTGACAGGGCTTGTATTCATCCTTCAAGATTGAATATTCTCAAAGAATGGGACCTTACTCTTCAAATATGACAAAGGCATCCTATTTAAGCACACATTCATCACCTACCTGGCTCCATCAAGCTTGAAAATAATCTCTCCCATAGTTTCAACCCCTCCACCTCCCTCAGCTTTAATCAGGAGGCAATTGAGAATTAATTCCTTCTGTGAATTTATAGGTCCAATTAGATTGTTACACGCTTTCTTCCTGTGGAAACAGATTTGGAAGAGCAGTGCCCCAAAACAGTAGCTCTTTTAGCTTGGGAAGCTGTGGCACAAAAATCCTAACTGGTAATATCTTAAGAAAAAGAACACCCTTTTCACCAATCTTTTCAAAGTACTTTCAATTTTCTGCTCCAATATGCACTATTTAAAACTTGCAAGTTCCAAAGGAACTATTCCCAAGTCCATCTCCACAAAATTTACATCCTTCTCAATCCCCTAAATTGACTGTACTTCCTCTATTTCATTCCAAAAGCAAACAAATGACAATACAAATGCATGAGTTATATTTAATCAATCCCCATACAAGGAAAATAAAATTGCTGAAAACATAAAGACATAAAATAAGCACACAAGTACTTGTGGAACGTAGAGTACCTGAAACACCAGTCGAATGCCATCCCGGGTATCGACTGCAACCGGCATGCAAGAGGCAAAATATCCACTAGCAATTATCCGATGAACATCCTCCTGAACATCACGAACGGTCAATGCTGAATTCGGTCGGGAAGCCTTCAAAGCATTTTTGGCCTCACTCTCCAAATCCTTCCTTTCGAGTTCATCTCCATCTTTGTTCCTCACCCACACTTCACTTATCAAAACCCTCTCTTCATCACGACTTGTAATCTGAGTCTGGCTCGGACTCTTCAGCACTGTCTGATTCGTGGACCCACTCAAGTCAGACTCGGCATTACCACCATCAGAAAGTGCAAGAGAAGCAGAGCAGAGGAGGGAGGACTTCAAAGGAGGGTGAAAACGGAAGGAACTAAGCAAATTCGGGGGTTTAGGGAAATTAGTAAAGAAATTGGTGATGGACTTCTTTTTGAGGTTAAAGTTGAAATTGAGAGGCTTTTGGGGTTTCATTAGAGAATTGATTAAGAACTGAGAGGTGAATTGGAGCTTTGAGAAGAAAGTGACAGAGGAATTGTGACCAAGTGGTGGAAGCTTGATAGAGCAAGAAGTGAAGCGGACGTCATCGTTTCTTGGCATTGTGGATCAAAAGCAAAAATTCTGCACTGTGTTAGAGCTGTAAAATTGTTAGGTTTTTATGGGATTAGAGTAGGTAGGAGAGTGACTCCCATGTCAGTGACGAGACAGAATGTGAAGAAAAAAGTGGAAAACATATGTCTAGACATAATGGAATCTCTGCAGTTATTTGAATATGTCTCAATCAGCAGTTAAACACATTCCAACAACCTGAAAAATGGTACCAGAGAAAAAAATTCCTATTTATGAAAAACCCAAGGAGCTCAAAGATACCAATAAACATTCATAGCCATGTATTTTCATCGGAAAACTTAAAGTACCAGAAAAAGGAAGCAGAAAAACCGTAACTCGAAAGCAGAATAAAATTCAGAGCTTGAATACCAATGCAGATGGCTACACCCATTCAGACACAAACACCGACATTTTTATCCAGAATTAAAAACAAAATCAACGTAATCATACATTTAATAAACGCAAAAAAGAATAATAAACAACTTACCGAAATTGCGAAGATTTTTTGGCAAAAGTTCGAATTCCAAATTGGAGTTTGAATTTAGTGAGTGTCTTGGAGTGATTGAGTGAGGTGATACGGTTAGAGTCCGAGCTTTGGAGAAAAACGACGTAGTTTCGTTGAGTTTGCTGCTCAGGTATAGGTTATGATACCAGGGTTTCTCGGTTCTGATGGATCCGGGAAGCTGGTTGGGTTGGGAAAGGCCGTAACCGTAAGGAGGGGAGACTCTTATACGTCAATTATTGCGACTTTACGTCTATTTCGGGTCATGCTTCTTCTTTAGTGTTTGCTAACTGCTTCTGTGCTTAATCCCGCATGAGAAGAGAGAGGAGTTTCCGAACGAAGTGGTTCTTTCTGCTTGTCGAGCAGTCTCACTTCGAATGTGTCTTCATACGTACCAACCCTTTTTTTGTTTTTTGTTTTTTTAATTTTTAGGTTAAATGCACCAACCCCTGAACTTTGCCCTCAATTGACCTTTACCCCCTAAAGTTCTTTAATAGGCACTTTATTCACTCCTCTTTTGATGTTTTGGACAAAAGTACCCATGCAATATTTTTCTTTTCTTTTCTTCTTTTTTGACTCATTCCCTTTTTACTTTTCTACCATTTTTTCTTTTATTTTTTCCTTCTTTCATGCCATTATTTTGTAACGAGTTCCATTTTTCTTGTATAATCAGTAATACGTAAAGGTTTAGTACTTCAATTACAAGTTGTCTAATGGAAGAACGAAGAATCCTTTCTTATTTTAGTCAACAAATATTTTGGTGTTAAAACATAAATGTGGGCGAAAATCATTCAAAACATCCTTACATTTTGTAAAATGACTTTTTTCGTCCCTCACTTTTAAAAGTGTAATTTTATGTCCCTTATAAATTTATATTGTCAAATTTGGTCCCTACATAAATATTCGACTAGATTTTTTTCGAAATTCATCACATGCCTAGCATGTAATCATTTTTAGGGACAAAACTATCAAATCAAATTTTATATATTTCAATCCATAGTCCTTCATATTTCACAAAATGAATTGTTTCGTTTCTCACATTTTATAAATTAATTTTTTTTCATCCTTCACATTTCACAAAATGAATTTTTTCATCCCTCATTGACTATATGTACAAATATTTTTTTTAAAATCTATGTATATATCTGTTTGATTTCACCTGAATAATATGAATAACATGTAATATGTCTCTATTTGAGTTCACCTAAACAAGGTAATTATAGTTATACACATGCTATTTAATAAATATATACATGGGTTTAAATTAACAATTTTGTTTTAAACACATATATATTTATTTAATTTCACCGTGTGAACCTATCCAATATTTGTAGTCTTTTCTTATTTAGTAATAATTCATTTATTGAATTGTATGATAAGGTCATCTAATTAATGGATTCTAATTCGAATTTTATAGTCATGCTAACAAATTGCAATTTAAATTTAAAACTTCTACTCACCACCTTTAAGACCAACAGTTGAGTTACTTGTCTTGTGATTGTTTTAAAATTTGAAAGTGCAAATCACTTAATTTTTTTTATCAAACTTTTCCTTTGTTTATTTTTTCTGTCCAAATAATTCGACATAAACATCAGACAAAATCAAATAGAGATATATTATATGTTATTTGTACTATTAAGGTGAAATTAAATAAATATATACATGGGTTTTAAAAAAACTATTTGTGTACATGATCAATTATGGATGAAAAAATTAATGTTCTAAATTGTGAGGGACAAATAAATTCAATTTGTGAAATGTGAGGATGAAACAATTTATTTTGTAAAATATAAGAAATTATGGATCGGGTTATGTAAATTTTGATTTGACAATTTTACTCTTAAAAAATGATCACGTGCAAAAGACATGGTGGATTTTGGCAAAAAACTAGTCAAAAACTTAGGTAAAAACTAATTTTGACAAGTGTAAATTTGTAAGGGACGTATAATTATACTTTTAAAAATAAGGGATGGACAAAGTTATTTACAAACTATGAAGGGCATTTTAAATGATTTTCCCTAAATGTAGAACTAGGAGGCAATAGTGTCATGTCATTATTGTATTTGTGTTGGAAAATTTCAATCCTAACTTAGCCCGTCAAGCATTTGTATCGTTTGGTTGTTAACAAGTTGATCTAACCCAATCCACATAGCCTATTAAATATTTTATACGGTTAAAACTCTTGTGACATGGCTTGCTGTTTTACAAGATTAACCCATTAACCTATCTTGGAAAAACTCTAATGTCTTAATCATATATTTTTACGCATTTAGTCATGTAATCTATTTAATATTATTTTTTTAGATACACAATAAATTTTTCAAATCATGAAACAAAGTCCAAATGTTCAAAAAAATAAAGTTTAATACTAAAATACATAGTACACACAAAATTTAGAGTTTTCAAAAATATTCAAAAACATATATCTATAGTGAAGTTTTCCAATTATAAAATAAGTTACAAAAAATGAGTATTTAATAGAAACAACGTCTAATAACTCCATATGTAATAAGATATCAAAAACTTATTAGTCTTTAAAATTTCTAAGCCAAATTTGATCATCGTTAGTTTTTATGAATTACTCAAAATGACCTCTACGAAGTTTAATTATTACAACATCAATACTTTATTGGGGTAGCATGCCAACCCATGGGTTGACCCATCCCACCCTATTTACATTTGTGTCACTAGGGGTATGAATCGAAATCGAAATAGGTAATTCGGAACTTTGAAATCGGAATTTTGGTATTAGAATTTTTGACCGAATTCGCATTCGAATTCGAATTCACCAATTCCAAATTTGAATTCATTCCAAATTCAATTCGGAATTCAATAATTCTGATTTCACCGAATTCATGAATATAAAAATTATTATTATAATATAAATGTTATATTATATATAATATATATATATATGAAAAACACATTTGAAATCCAAAAACACTTTACTATATATTTTACGTATACTAAAGTTACTATTTTATATTTCTAAATATTATTTTAGCGACCTACGGTTCAACTGATTGAACCAATGATCCATTGACTCAATCTTTTTGCTGGGTTCCTTGCCAGATTTGGTTTAATAACTACACGTGGAACACTGGTAATGTGGAGCTAAGAATTATTATTTCAATTTATTCATTTTTTCTTTTTATTATTTTATAGAATTCTTTTTTTATTGTACACCTCCAACTAAAAATCTTAAGAATAGTGAGATTCAAATCCAAACAAACCATGTACAATTTGGAACTTTTCTTATTTATCATATAATTAAAATCAAGAAACCCATAGAGTATAACAAAAATATAACGCACATGCAGGCACAATGTGTCCATGGTGGGCCAATTCAAGATTTTAACTTAACTTTACCAAACTTTTAATAATGTTATATTTAACTAGAGGTGTCAAAATGGGTGACTTGGGCGGGTTTGGATTGGGTAAAATGGATAATGGATATAAGTGAGTCAACCCATTTATATCTATTTAATTAGATGGGTATAAATGGGTAAATCAAAAAATGAATTGGGAAACCCAATTACCCATTTATAACCCATTTATTTTAATTTTTTGTAAACTCATTTAAATTCATTTTTGCAAACTAAGTTATCACTTTATACCGTTCTTTGTACCCATTATTAGTTTTAAATATTTACTTATAATGGTCAATAAGCCTAATTACCAATTTTTTTCATTTATACTCTATGTCGCAAAATTACATATTATTTAGTAATTGAATAATAAGAATAAAAAAATTTGAACTAAATACATAAAAGTTAATATAAAAACTTAATCAAAAAATTTTGAACCCCTAAAATTTTTTTCATATATAAATTTAAAGTTTCATTTTAGAAAGATAAAAAAAGAGGCTAAAATTTATCATAAATTGGTAATGCTAAAAAATGAGCAAGTTAACAAATTAAGAGAAAATAAAATAATAAGATAAAACCAACAAATAATAATAATAATAATGAAACAAAAGTAGTTAACATCATGACAAAATGAAAATTTTGAAAAAAAAAATGAGTGGGGGAAGAGAAGATATTTGAGGGAAGAGAATTTTAAATGGGTTACCCAATAATACCCATTTATTTGGGTTACCCAATAATACCCATTTATTAAATGGGTATTATTGGGTAACCCATTTATACCCATATACAAAAATTTAAGATACCCATACCCATCTATTCATGGACGGGTATGGGTAAATTTAGTTAAGTGGATTGATTTGCCACCTATATATTTAACCCACAAAGTCAACCAAATTGAACTTAATGAACTAGCTGAATGAATTGCCAGTTTAAATCAGCCTATACGCGATAATTAACATCTTAATTACTGCAAGTCTCTAGATGTTCACATAATAGATATACTAAATTATTGAATTTCACTTGTGTATCTTCATCAATCTAATTAAATATAAGTTCTTAATTGTGATTAGATTAGTGAGACTATAAGTATATTATATTGACTTATAATGATATATAGTAAAGGTAGTTTTATGTATGTGATGCATGTTTTGTCCTTTTCATTCGAGCATGATCTCGCAATTATTAACTTTTAAAATCAAAGGAAAATATATTCTTTATTGTAGTCTTACACCGTTATAAGATTATAGAGTGTTTTCGGTTAGGTATATCAATCTTCATGTCTTTTTAAGGCAGTTTCTTGATGTCTCATTTGTATATGTGATACATGAGGTAATAAAACCAATTTTTTTCAAGAAATGATTTTGTGAATTCATTGGTTATTGGTGGTTTGACTTAATTAAGAAGTTAAAATCAATAAACTACTATATGAGGTTTCAATTTACTTAAAGGCCAAAATATCTTGCAGTTACTTGGGAAGTAAACACCCTTATTTGGCAGCCAATTTTTTTGCCAAGTTTATCTGTTACAAGTTTTTTAAAAATTTTAATTACAATAACCTCAAAAAACTTTTCAAAGATTTTTAACTATACACTTCAAAATATTAAAAAAAAAAGCACACTTCGAAAATATTTTTAAAAACTTCTACAGTGAGTTACAATAAAATTTGAATAAAACACCCAAAAAACTCACTTGCCAAACGGATTAAAGTTATTTGTCCTTAATAGTTAAAGAACCAAGAAAAATATAATATGAGGTTTATATCGCGTTAATGGAGTCCAATCCCACTGCAAATTCTTCCAATAGGTATCTCCAAATTTCATTTAGGGAATGAAGATTTGAGAAATTTTGTTCTTTTGTTGAGGTTATGAGTATTTGGATTATGGTAGCAATTAATAAGAAATCCCATCCAAAACACTTAGCAGTATGTTTGGTCTTAGTTGACCTTCAAATTCTAGTTTTTTTCGTTATTTTCAAAATACCCTTCTCTCCTATT